CATTCCTGACCGTGTCCCCACACTGTCGGCCCATGATCATTTTGGCATCATTATACCATGTTAATCAATGCCATGTGATTTTGTGCATGTTGTTATGCATTTTAGCATCACAGCCCCAAGTGGTAACCAGAAAAGCATAGAATCATGGGAAATACCTCTAGAAGAACATAGGCATAACTATGCCTAGATCACCCCTGACCAGTGGCTTTCCAACCTCTTGAACATCTCCAGTGATGCAGAGTCCGCAACTTCTCCTAGGTGTCTGCCTCACTGTTGTAAACCTATTTTGCTGCAACTTCAAGTCATTGGTCTGTGTCCCAGTCACTGCAGCAACAGAGAAAAGGTGTTTTCCCTCTTCTTTATGGCAGCCCTTCAAAAATTTGAAGACTGCTATCATATTTCTTATTAAGTACCTTTTCTGCAAGCTAAGTATACCTAACTCCTTCAATCTGTCCTCATATAACTTGCCTCCCAAGCCCTTTATCATTTCTGTCACCCACATCTGGGCCCTCTTTAACTTCTCCCCATTCTTTTTCAAATGTGGAGCCTCAAACTGCACACAGTACTCTAGATGAGGCTTAACGGGTGCTGAGTAGAGATTCATAGATTGTAAGGGCTGGAAGGGACCTCGCAAGATCATCGGATCCACCTCCCCTGCACTAGGGAGGAAAGACAAACCAGTAGTAACTAAGGATCTCCAGTAATAACTAAGGATCACAATACCCACTCCCATTCCCGAGACAAATTTCACAAAGCTTCTGAGGAATGAGGAAAATCCACATAAGTAGCTTCCTACATTAAATGTGAGAAAGGTCCAACCTAATCCAATAAAAAGACATTGGACAACTCAAAAGTAGAAGAAATAGCAGTAGGTGCAGGAAGACAACAGGAAAAACCATGGGAAGGTTATGTGGGAAGAAAAATAGATGTAAACGGTGACTCAATAAGCTATTCCTCTTCCTCTTGTGGAGGTCCCATCAAATGCACTTTATGAACACGTTATTCAACATTCAGAGGTTGAAACGGAACACCAGTACCTATTTAAAGATCAGCTGATGAAGAAACAAAGGCAATGACTGTTTTGTTGCATGCCTGTTGGTGTTCTAAGTATGACATCCCCTGCTGCTGGTTTAGCCAAATCTGGCCCCAACCCCTGTCAAGAAATTGAGGTAGGGCTATTGCTCTGACTTTAAACTGAAACGCACTTATGGTGCAATGCTTAAGTGTTCTGTTAAGACTTTGATCAAGGGATTGCAGATTGAAAGCTGAGAGCTTTTTGACAAGGAGGAGAATACAGTGGGCTGCATACAATGAAGGATGTGTGAAGATCTAGACAGAAACACAGTTTCCTCAAACATAAATAGATCAGAATCCTTCATGAATGCAAATAATCAGTTTTCAATAGGACCTCTCTGGAAATAACAGTAAAACTAAGAGATTGTAAGATTATAAAATGAATTTGATGAATACACACTGCAATATACTGAATATATTTGCATTCAGCACTTTATATATGTGACATTTATCCTCATGAGCACAACAGATAACTCAGGAATAGTTTTATGTAATTTTTGCGTTGTCTAGGGTCTGTAGAAGCATATTATGCCTAAGTCATCAGGGATCCTGGTTTTCTCTGTTTAAAAATAGCAAATTCTCTGATTAAAACCCTCCCAAATCCATGATTAAAATGAAATTCCACTACACACACACACACACACACACACACACCCTAACATAATAAAAACCTTAGTCTGACTGTCTGTCTGTCTGTAATGCTTTATGCACAGTCTGATTGTGATTGGCTGCCAAAACAAACAGTGTTGAATGAAACAACCAATCAGAGTGCTCCAAGAGCGTTTTGGACAGGGGGTGGCACTGGCATGGTGTAGCACCACCATGATGGTGTGGATGGAGCAAATGGAGCAGGGGGGCGAGGCCAGCAGTGCTGGCCTCGCCCCCCCCCCCCCCCCCTGACCGAGGGGGATGGAAGGAACATTGGGGCAAGCTTCTCTCTCTTCCCCTCTCCCTCCCTCCAGCTCGTGGGAGGTGGCGATGGCACAGGGTGGTGGTGCTCCATCCCCACTGCCTCCCCCCATCATTGCTGACAGGCAGTTGGCTAGTACACACACACACACACACACACACACACACACACACACACACACACAGAGCGTGCATTCATTCTGGTGCGCAGTTGTTTGGTTTCTCGCAACTATGTACCAGAATGAATGCATGCTGGAAATCTATTGAAGACAAGAATACCCAATTACCTGTGGAGGCACATTTCTCTCAAAAAAACCACACTCTCTCTCCAATCACTCAGTTCTAATCCTCAAAGGGAATTTACAAAACACTTTTCACAGATGAGCCTATGCACTCCACTTCATCAACCTCCTGGATACAAAAAATCTTGGACTAAATATAGACATTGGATTTATTACACACTACAGCCTGCCTGACATCTGAGTCCCCAGGTACCTCTCCACTATTTACAGCTACATTCATTCCCTTTCCCCTACTCCCAGTCTGTGTCTCACTCACTAACTCCTCAATTGACATCTTCACTGACTGCCTTTCTTGCATGCATACCAGCCTTTGGCTGCTTTACTATTCATTCCATCCAGGAAGAGCACACACCAACTGCACATGCTTCCTCAGCCTGACAACGGGTTTTGAAACCTGAAAGCTTGCTAAGAAATTTTTTTCCAACTATTTGAGTTGATCTAATAAAATATATCAGTTTTAACCAAAGAACCTCGTTTGCCTATGTCCTTAGACTGACACAGCTACAACCTGTACCCCTCCCACATCTGTATACAGACATCAGACATATTTTGCATTTCGACCTATGCACTTCTCTTTTGCACCATTTGTTGCTATCTGGTACTCTCTGGCTCTTTCCCAGAGTTGAGGACATCTTTTGGTCCTTTCCTCTCTGGATTGTTTGCTCTGTTGCTGAAGGGTTTTTTTTACCATCCCCCTTGGAACCTAGCTTAAGTGCCTCCTTACTAGGTTAGCCAGATGATGCCCAAAGATGCTTTTTTCCAGTTCTGGTCAGATGGACCAGATCTCTTGATAGCAGTCCTCCTCCCCAGAACAGATGCCCATTGTTGAAGAATCCAAAGTCTTTACACCAACACCACCATTTCAGCCACATGTTTACTTCCAGGGTAGTCCATGCCTGGGCCCTTGTCTTCCACGGGGAGTATTGATGAGAATATCACTTGTACTTCAAGCTTCTTAACCTCTCCTGCAAGAGCATCATGTTGACTCTGATCTGCTCAGTGTCATTCTTGGCAGTGTGGTTGGTGCCTATATGGACAGACAGGAAAGGATAATGTTCTGAAGGATGGCTGAGGGTTGGCAGTCTCTCTGATGTCCTAAATGTGGGCACACCTCCTGGGACTCCAAATCTGGATGACAGGTTGGTACCTCCTTCCCCCACAGAAGGGAGTCACTAACCACCACCATTCTTTTCCTTCTTGGTGCAGTAGTCCTAGAGCTCCCATCCCTGTACTTCTAGCCATCTGGATGACTGGGTCATGTGCATTTTGCCTGCACATGTCC